AGGGCTAGTTGCGTCGTGTATAGATACACGGTCGGTCTCGGCCTCATTTGTTGGATGAAGATGAAATTTTTACTTGGCCGATACGTTATCCCGTATCTCGATTGTTTGTGTGTCATTAATAGGTCGGCATAATCTAGTTACGCTGGCAAGTTTCACGCTAATTCTGTATACCTAAATATTTAATAATCACCCAGTCGACCAAAATCTGACATAACGGAACGGTCGTTATTAGACAAAATACTCTAAAAGGCAAATTCATAAAGTTGAATTTTTGCAACAATTCTATTTATACTTTCACAGGCTTTTAGTCATTTAAGATTCGGCCCGATATCCCAGAGGAATTCCAAACTATTTGATGGAGGTTCTAAGTATATTCAAAGGAAAATGAAGCACGTAACATCTTCTCTTGCCAAGTTAGGTAAATTCAAAGGTCTGTCATCTATCATATTTCATCTTGCTAAATTTTTCGAGCTATTGAGTGTCATAACATGATTGGATGGTTTCAAACTAAGTTAATACATTTCAGTGGAAATTAAACAGCTAAAATTATAAATTGCAATTAATCATAACTGTTTCAATCATTGATACGTTTCGAATTTTCTTTTCTTCTGTTTCCGTTAAGAGGCATTCCATTCTATTTCAATAAAAAAAATATGTGTTTCGATTTTAATTTAAATTAAGAATATGATAGAAAGCCCCTCCAGATATCTTAAAACGCGTAGAAATAGAAAACCAAATTGTTTTTCGAATTTATGCAACATACAAAATTGGAGGTGTCTGGGTGTAAGCAATTTTGTTTATAAAATCGTAACTGGATAAATACTTATTGTATCGGAAAAATAATGAAGTACTTTTCTCTTTCAAAAGAGTGATACATTCATGTCAGAATTTTATTTTTATACCAAAGGGCAATTTAAAATACTTTTTTTAATAAACTATGATGTGGCAACTAGGTTCCTCTCTTTATACTAACCTTTTTCAAAATTATTTGCCCTCTGCAAAATGCCGCTACCACGGTCCTGTGGGCCTCAATCACATACAATGCGGATATTTCACTGCGGGTGTCTTTTGACACTGAATATTGACGTTTTTCTCAGCTCTCAATACTTTCAATAATCAGATCTCGTCACTTCAATCATTTGTTACGGCTTACAGTATTAATATTCATTATCCAGTGGATTTTGAAGGTCAGAAAACCAAATAACTAGTTTCAATTCAAGAAACAAATCCGTATCATTTATCCAACATAACCTATTATACATAACGTATACTGTTCGGACCTATAATTATAATATGCGATTTCGAGAAATGCGTATCAGTGAATTGATATGGTCCATTCACAAAGGAAAATAACTCAACAAAATACACGGAGTTTTGTGAACTTAATTCTCCAATTGTACAGAATATTGATTCGATTTATTATCAGTCCCAAAAATATTCCCTTTATGATTCTCCCCATAATTTTCCCTAGCTTCTGAGATATTTAACGTATTAGTTTTACTAAGGATTGCTTAGATCAATGTAAGTGAAATTTAATCAATTTCAGTTTTCCTGCTTTTTCCAATGATTGCATACATCGCGACACTGGGGACGCCAGCAATGATGGGATTTTCATTGGATTTTGTCCTACACTATCTTCTACAATTTACACTTCCAGAATTCGGGAAAAAATTTAATGAAGTCATTCTAGCTCTCTCTTTAATTCAAATGCGGTGTCGTCGCTCTCCATTTCGGGGCTCCTTATTTTCTCCTGTTGGGAACCACTCCTAAACTATAATATAAGGATAACGCAGGTTATAAGATAACGCAGGTTGAGGCCTGAGTTATCTTAAGGAACTAATTTTATTCTTACTTTACCAATTTCTTAATTTATATCTTATTTATTAACTCCGGGGTATTTTAGCATTGACCGACGTCGGTAGCTCGGTCTGCGCGTGGCATGCATACAGTGACGCTTCTACGCACCGTTCTTGCCTATCACGACTTGAGCAATTCATTTTTTCTTTTTCCTTTTTGTTATAGAAGAACTAATTTTCGCCCTCTTCCTCTGAAAAGGGGATAGCAGGGTGAGAAAAGTTAGAGCCTTTGGGCTCTTTTCCTTCTTCCTTTATCGTCTGTCACCACTCAAAAACCGCCAGGATTGTAACTTCTTCTACCAAAAGATGCGCTTCCATCTCTGCTGGGATGCCAGGACGCCCGAAACCGTTAGGGGGATTCCATAAAGAGTAGACTTCGGCTTCTGAACACGACCCGGATCCTTCATCTATTATGAACTGTGGCAGAGGCAGAGGCTTCCTACCCAGCAACTCACGCCAAATTAAAAAACGTAAGTCTCTCGATGGCCCATTACCATAACCCATTACCCCATTATCACCCCAGGTAGGAGAGGACGAAATACTCCTATTAACATAACTGCATACCGGGTCGACAAGGAAGTAGACAAAAAAATCAACGAGATGAGAATGCTGAATGGAAGCAGACATAAATTTCTTCCCTCAGCCCTCAGCTCAAAACACTCAAAAAAAATGCAGCTTCGACCTCATGACAATTTACCAGTTCGGAGATTCGTCCCGCCCTTTCCGAGGACGAGGCTGATATTTCTCAAAAGTCAACGATCTCACCAAGAACAAAAACAAAATCAACTACACCCAGTCAGGCTGCATCATATTTCGACCTAAGAATAAATCCCCTATTTTAGATATGAAAATCAATATTAATAATCAACAAATCCTAGAAGATGCGGGCTATAACTTCTCTCGCCTGCCTCTCATTAACAACGAATCCCTTATTGAAAACGATATTGATATAGTTAATACTCTTGGCGCCTATTACCAGAAAATTAATTCCCCCACATATTTAAACCATAACATAAGGCTTAAAGATTTAGTTGATTCTACAGTACAAGCATTTGAGGATTAATTACGCGCAGATATCAGCAACAATAAAATTGTCAAAACATTTAATCCATCCACAAAACCCTCTAATCCCACCGTCAAAACTATTTACTGACCCCATCACTATTAAAATTATTGTGAAATATCCCCCAAATAAAATCTCTAGCGGTATTGATAAAATCCCCGCCACCATATTAAAACACGTACACCCCAAGACAATTTTCGATATTACCATTATAATCCACAACGACCATTATAATCCACAACTTCCTTAATAATTATTACTTTCTCACATCTTGGAAAACAGCAATCGTTCTACCTATTCTTTAAAAAGGCAAAAATTCTTCGGATCCTGCTAGTTACCGATCCATCAGCATGACCCATCCCTTAGTAAAGTATATGAAGCAGTCATCAACAACGAAATATGAAAAAATTAACAATATCATTCAAGGTAACCAATATGGTTTTAGAGGTTCACCATTTCACCCTACACGCTGTCCATAAGTTACTTTCCGATGTTAATGAGTAAGTTTTCACTAACCGCATGGTAGGTGCCGTTCTCCTCGATTTCGAGAAGGCATTCGACTCGGTCTGGATCAATGGCTTCATTTTTATACTGATTAAAAATAAATTCCCGCCCGAATTATTCAGAACCATCTGGCATCTCGACACCCTACTTGTAAACTGGGAACCCGGAAAACCTTTTCTATCAAGAAATTTTCCATAACAATCAAAGACCCCGTCTCTAATGTACATCCCTGTCAAAAACACTGTTAAATATTTCGGTGTCCACATCTATTACCTAACAAGATGCCTGTCACACCTAGACACTCAAATCAAGAAAGCCAGGGCCCGCTATAAACCTTTAGGAGACCTCTTCCATAACAAAAATATTACTAAACGAGCTGAAATCATTTATTACTTGTTGCTCATTCGCCCACTTCTAACATATGCCTCAGAAATCCTCTGAAATTTGGGAGCCTTCCAGGTGGAGTGATTAAGACGATTCGGAAGAAATTGCCTTAGAGAGTCTCTTCTCCTCTACCGTTCCCTCCATACTAATTTTTATCATTACATCGATAATAAAACCCTCTACGATACTACCAACATACCCAGAATCGATAATTTTATATTATACTTAGCAAGAAACTATTATAATAAGTTAAAACTTATCGATAATTTAATCATCTAATCTTTGCCCGAATACCCAGTCGAGGAAGCTATTGGCAGGGCGAGATGTGGTAATATGAAACCTCAATACTTCACTCAATATGATAAGATGGGCCTTTCCCCAGATGCTTTCAATCAATCAATATTATTTGATATCACTAAACACAATAAAAATAAAAGGAGCCCCATGGATGACTTCAAATCCGCGGTCTTCAAACACTTAAGATGCATCCCTGAGTCTGATCTTTATCATTTTACGGGTGTGAGAAGAGAGTTCTGGTAGATCACCTCTGATGATGCGTATATAAATGAGATTAAAATACATGAACAGCTTATTGAAAATAGTATGGCTCGACGAGCCTACAACCTCAAAGCAGGCAGATATCGTCGATCTAATTTCAGACCTCCGTAACACCTATAATTATCGAGATTCAACTCTATCATATTTAGTTTAACCTCTGGTTATCTACTTTTATTTCTGTTTCCTCTTTCTTTTCCTTTTTCTTAAAGATATAGTTAGCCTTTTTTTTCATGTCACGTCATATTCGACTGCTTTTTTTTTAGGCTAACCCCCCGTTATTGTTATACCTTCCTTACTTACTTCTTAAAACTACTCATAATTAAAATTCCTTTCAATTGACCTTCGTCACAAAACAAATATAAAAATTCTAACAAGACAATGTTTGCATGTTTTAAAAAGATTAAAAACTACATATGTGATAGAGTACTTATCAAAGATAGATCCTTTTAAAATTCAACCATCAATTCTCTAATAGGTACTCTAGAACATTTTTTTTCAATTTTTTTTCAATTTCTAAATTATAAACAATACTTGCAAAACATGTTTTGCAAGTCCAGTGGGTGACTAGGACCGAGGGAACGACAACAGGCACGTGTGCTTTTCCTCCTCCAAACGAATATCATTCCGTGAGCAAAATGGTGAAGGAACTCATTCCTCCACAATCGTCGTGGAAGACATTCGGCGTGGAACTCCTAACAAGTGCTAGTACGAATCATTTTATGTCGAAATTTTTCATGATAAATAGCCTGATTATCGACGAATCAAACCCCATCTGTCCTTATCACGAAAAAATAGTACACTCGATAAAAATTCAAAATAGTTGATTCATTTTTCTCCACAGAAAATTACGACAAAGCTGAGAGACGAATTAAACGTCTTTATAGGAAACCGTCTAACATCGACTCGACAGATTCTGAGACTGAGGCAAACTGTGTTGGCAAAATATCGAAAAATCAGGCTGCAGCCATAACAAGGCGAACTTTTTCTCTGCTGGAGCACATTGTAGAGGAAAGGGAGGCAATATCATCGAGAGATCATGAGGCTGAAATTTCTAAAGATGGTGGTCAACAGAGAAGTCTGGAGGAGGCTGGAGCTACAACATTGCGAGGTAAATATCGGTCCTCACTTCTTTCTAGGTGAAAGATTTATTTGTACTTTTTTTTAACTCCTTGAACTCTCATGTTTATTAGGTAGAACAGAGTCCGGTGACACCAAAGCAGAAAAAAAATCTGCTTTGAAAGCTGTTCTCAAAACTTTGAGAGAAAATGCCATTGAAGACCCTCTGAAACGTAGGTATTAATGATATTGTGATAAACATTAAAATTAATTTATCTGCTATATTTCTGTTTTGTTTTGTATTTCTCAGAGTTCTGCGCAGATTATTGGGACGCCACAACAGAACTTCTCACGTACAAATATCGTGAGGATTTGTCCAGCCTAAAACGATCTATTCAATACGATCTAAATAGGAAAATCGAGGAGCTGAGGGTTTCCATGATGGTCTGCAATGTCGCTGGAGGTGAACCTATAACATCGCCGAGGGAAGGACTATCCGCAGATTTCCCCATTAAGAGTTTCGAACAGTTTCTGGACTTCGAGAAAACTCTAGATCCGACACATCAGGATAATTTGGCTGATCCTGAGAAGGCCTTACAAAAACAGGATATACTTGTGAGTTTTGTGGATTGCATTTATATTTTTCGATGTCATAATCGCCTCTCTCAATTTTTTGTCATTATCGTTGTGAATTTTTTTGTTAGAAAGCATTTATGGGTGTATTAACTAACAAAGGGATGGATTATGCGGCTGATATTAAAAAAATTCTTAAAGAATTAATTTCCAAAGAAGTGCAACTCAATTACAGTGGCGTAGGCCGCGTTGTTAAAGGCAGGGGAAAGAGAAATTTCAGTGCAACACTGACTTTTGCATGTTTAAGAGGTTCGTATATTAAATCGACCCTCAAGAATTGACTCACTCTTTCACAATTTTTTACTTCATTTCCAGATTTTATTGAGGGAAAATACAAAAACTCCAACATACCATTGAAGATCATATCAATTAGGGGTGATTGGCTATCAGGAGCTGGAGACAGAGATAGTGGATGTTCACAACGCAAAAAGCAAGGTGGAACGTAAAAGTGAGTTTGTGAGTTCGAACTGATAATTTCACGCATTTTATTAAAAAAATTAAAGTTCATTAAAATTCAATAATTTTATATTATGTAGAACTATAATTTAAGTTATTTGAATAAACTTAATTATTCTTCATAGATTCTCGTTCGTAGTATGTACCGACCCCGCAAATTTTAATCGGAATTAGCTCCAAACCCTGGTCAAGCCTGGGTATTATAGAAAACCACTCTTGGTACGAGGCTAGTCCCGAGGTCTGGATGAATCTTGGTGGAGTTGCTTGGGCCAGACCTGATTACCAGGTCTGGCCCCATGTTATATTCCAATGTTTATCCGCCACCGGTCCGGGCCTAGATACCAAGCCTGATCCAAGCTTTTCCAGTCTTGGGAATGGCTTGGTTGAAGCTTGGACCTTTGGTGATTTCCTACCTGGGATTATGCATATTCTCATAGAAGAGCCTGGTTTAGTTTTACATATTCTTTCATGAAATATTTATACATCGTGTCGATTGCAGCACTCATGATGTTTGAAGCTGTCATTTCTAGGACCCTTCAAAGGATCATTTTGAGTCGTTTGGAGTTCTAATTTTTTTCTTTTGAGCGAGAGGCCGTCCTTCAGTTCCTTAGTGGGTGCCATATTACACTGGAATTTATGTCAGTAGATAATAGCTGTGCAGAGCGAGTTCTATCTGAGAAATACAGCAGACACCCGAAAACTTGATAATTAAATTATCTATTTGATCTGGGAGATTAGAGCTCGTCTTATCACACCCGAAACGTATCGTAGTGTGCGCGAGACTCATACCTTCACCACTAGTCTATGCCAGTAAATAGGCTACTGTTGGCTGGAGTGAGCTGAAATTGCATGAATCGAGCTTGTGGAATGGAGTTCTCGGTAAATATGTGGTTTAGGTCCGCCAAAAAATAAAAATCATTGAAATGTGAATTTCTTTGGATAGAGACCATTCTTATCTTCTCACTAATCAATAAGAAGACGACAGAAGAGGGAGAAACAATAAGGAGTGAAATACATCGATAAATAGCCCTGAGGTAAACTCTGTTGTCCCTGAAATTCCTTAAACACCCCCTTGCCTTTGCTGTCGCTGTTGACGCGACGAGTGAGTGACTTTTAATTCATATTTGAATAGCTACAGAAGGGTAGTGGCGGATAAATCACTCGTGGTTTTCGTTCAGCGATGGTAGATGGTCGGGAGAGGCGAATTCAGAGTTCTAGTGAAGTGTTCAGGACTATTAGATAAATCCATGTTTCTGTGTGTCCATTGTCTTTAAATGTGCTAACATGTGGTGTCTTAGGGGCCGACACACCGTTACGTTCTCTCTGTGGCCCTGGCTAACGCAGAGAGCGGTGTACTAAACATCACATCTCCCACACTTATTGTTTCCGGATAAAAAGTTGACCAAATCCTTAGTCAGGTGATGGACACCCTTCCAACGAAATAAAAAACATCCAGAATGGTTTGGTGGATCCGAACTAGACATTTACCGAATTCTCAATACAGTCACGTAAAAATGACTGCTCTGTACACGGAGAGAAAAATCTATGAATTTTTATATTGTGATTCCGATAAAAATTACTGTGCTGCGTTACAATCTAGGTGTAAACTGCAGGCCTGAGAAAAATTACTATGCTATGCAGTAACATTTCTTCATCGGCCCAGCAAAACTTCGTTATCGGCTAAATAAAACTTCATAGTCGTCGTAACAGTTACCATTGTTAAATTCAAGTTCGGCAAGAATCGGAAACATTCGACGTTCATCGCTAACCAATCATATTGAGTTAAAAAATCTTTGGAGAAAATGCTATGTAGCACAGTAAAAATTAAAAGAGACGACAATAAAAAATATCGATCTGGATAAGAATTTTTGAATGATTTCTATCAATTTTTCTTTGAAACTCAAAGAAAAAATGATAGACCTTCAAATTTTATAGTGCTGTTTAGTAAATTTTATGGAGCCACACATGATTAATTACGGAATGTATAAGAAAATTTGACATATTGATAGTAATTTTTATTTGTGAATCAAAGAAGTTCTAGTATTCTAACATTTTGCACCATGATTGTAGTGCTCGGCACAGTAATTTTTCTTGGACTATTCTCTCCGTGTATACGATTTTTCACCGCGCTGTGTATGAAGAACTTCCGTTCTGCGTTTTGTGAAAAAAAAATGACGTTGTTACGTAAAATTAACGTAACGTTGAGTAATTTTTACGTGTTTTGTCGTCGTTTTTACATGAAATACTATAGGTCTTAACCGTTCAGAAAAAAAATCGGGGCATTATGGTAAATTTTCCGGACTGAATAATTAAATTTACTGCTTGTCGTTATTATTTTTTTTCCCAGGATTTCCGATGACATCTACCAAAATGATTTTTTGGCCCATGATTACCTGAATAGGCACGTATCTTTCCCGGTATTTTTCTCTCTATGAATAAAGCCTACTCATATTTAGACGGGTATGTCCTAGGTATTCAAACCATAATCTGTTTTACTTTCAAATAGAACTCACCATATTAGTACCTTCAACTTTGATGAAATTTTTCTCAAAGGAAGGTTTCTTCCATTTTCAACATGTGATTAAAACTCTTCAACTTGTCCAAAATAAATCAGATATACGCTCATGTGGATAAGCCCAATAACGCCAAAGTATCTCTCATGTGGACGTCGACAAATGTGAAAATCACATAATGCGAACCACATATATGATTAACGTTATTGAATTTATGTTTGATAGATGCAGAACCGTAATAAAAACTCTTTCGAATGCATTATTTAGTCTTAATAGATATTTTCTTTCAGCAGAGCTAATTAGTAAATCCTTGGTCATTATATTACGTAATGCTGTCAAATAAACTTTCCATCATTCGACTATTATGATTATAATTTACTGTTAACCAACTGTTGGGATGGGGTTTTTTTTACTAGTGTGGTTGGCCGCTTCGCCTTCGGCTCGGCTCGCTAAACTCCACACGAGAAAAAAACCCCGTCTCAAGAGTTCAGAAACATAGTATTTTTATCTTCACAAATCAGTTGTAGATATTAATCTTCCAGATGCTATACATAGAATTCTGAGAAAAGTGTATCTTATATAATAATAATGGTTGATTTTCTTCGGCGCTGTAATACGATGATTGGTGAAATAATTATAGGTATGAATAGTGAATTTCCTATAAAGAGGAAGAGGAAGAGAGGAGAAGTTGATCTGAAAGTTACTTCCTGATGGACGATTAATTTCGTATAATATCCGATGGTCACATTTATGGGAAATGCATTGAACGGGTTATTATTAAAATTGAAGCACTCAGACTATGTACTCCAAACAATTTTCATTTATTTAATGGGTTTAAAGTCCAACCGCTATCACATGAATTTAAGTAAAAATCTTCTTTTCCCTCTGATACATGGAATTAACTTGTGTTTCAGAAAAGAATTAATATTTTCATTCGTTTTCCGACCTTCGGTTAGAAAAGATTGTCATTACTGTGAATTCCAATGTAAAAGTAACTGCCTTACCTCTTTTGGCAGCATCAGTTGCTCTTTTTCTCAGATGCCAAAACATTGCAAGTTTCTCAATATTATTGCTTTTTTTTATTGACTCAGAAAAAGTTTCCAATATTTAAAAATAGTACCCACTATCGTTTTCAAACGCGTAGTCCGTACGTTTTAGGGAGTCATATCGTCGCCAAAAAATTGCAAGGTGGTATTCTACATTCATTCGTTGAATCGCCTATTACGCTCCTATAATAGGCAGTTTTATATTGTTCATCCTGTATTTTTTGGAGTATTACGATAAAACAACGGGAAACCGCTGTCATAATCGTTAAAAGTCGACAGGCTTGCAGAGTTTCAATTTTTTTTCTTAAATTATCTTAATGGTTCATAAGATACCCGAGTGGAAATTAGTTCAGGTCTACTTGAAGTCCGATCAGAATTTGATTCAGTTTCAGTGCGGTTCGCTTGATCAGGTAAGATCTGATCAGAACCTGACCAAGGTTTGATCCAACGTTTCGGATCCTAAAAACTACAAGCGAATTTAGATCAAGTTCTGATCACACAGACCTGATCAGATGACACTTGATGAAAACTTGATCAAGTTTCGAGCCAGTATATTGGACCCTATAAACTACAAATGGCTTTACATCAAGTTCTGGTCAAACATGCCTGATCAGGTGACACTTGATGAAGTCCTGACCAAGTTTTGACCCAGCAAGTCCGATAAACATCATCTCTCTCTGAGATCAAGCTGCCTCAACACAATTTGTTCTCATTCCAATTCAATTCCCTTGATTTTCAATTGAATAGCTCGATAAAAAAGAATCATAAATGAATAGGAAGCAAGGTAAATATATATAGTAAAGTATCAAACATAAGAGCGCATTATCTTGAGTCTAAAAAAATCATCAAACTTGCATCTGTTCATTGTGTTATGATTATTATAATTATCTTTTAATAAAGAAATGAAATTTAAACCGAATATGTTTTCTCGCTCAAAATGTACATGCAATAATTTCAAAGTCATCAAATACTCCCTTGCAGATTGTGTAGGTGAAAAGAATCTACTCAAAAACAATATTGCGGTAGTCCAGTGGTTAGGGCGTAGGTTTAGTAATCGTAGCTTCCTCGGTTCCATCCCCAGCATCGTCAAAAATAATAGGGTTTTTTCATCGCTAATTACAATCGGGCTTCATTAAGAGCGGTCAGATATAATGAAACAAATTAATTATCTTTTGTTTTAAGTGAGTTATGGTCAATATTTATTATTGTTTTCGATATTCCAGTTATCCGATTTAGATACATTTGACTTGATCAAATCCGGAACCGTTAAACCGGATTAGAAAAGTTTGATCAAGTCTTGATTTAAATTTGCGTTACATGTCTGATCAAAACTTGATCCAGTTACCGTGTCACTTCCGGATCAATCATCAAGTATGACCTGATCCAGTCTTGACTAGAACTTGACCACTTTCCACTCGGGTAGCTTGTTCAATTATGAATGGTCATAATGTCATTTTTTGAACTATTCGTTTATCAAGTTTGTTACTTTTCTTTTTTGTTCGTTTCTTTTTTAGGACTATCTCCCATAGGAATCAAATAATTAGAAATGAAAATATCTACATTTGTTTCGATGAAAACTCTTGATATTGTGTAATCCCGTAATTTATTGTATTTTTTTCATTATTTTGATCAATAATTTCTCTCTAATGGATTGGTTAACAACAGGCTTGGATGACGCGCGACCTTCAAACTCGGATCAACATTGTTCCTAACGCGGCCCCGGCCTGGACTAGGTCAGTTTTAGCTCAGTATCCAAGCTTGGATCGAGTTTGACGTCCGATCTTGGATCAACCTGGAACAGCGTTACAAACCAGGGTTCTGTACAAGCTAGGATTCCAAGCTTGAACCTAGCTAAGCTCGTCTTGGTCCAAGCTTAGGGTAAGGTTGAACCGATTGTCAATTCCCACCTTGGCAAGAATATATTAGATTTCTATTTTCAGATAAAAAAAAAAAGTTCAATCCTGTGAATTTTGAGATATTTCACATAATCATTATACATTGAAAACTAGATAGCTCCGAAACTAATTGTTCAATTATGTAGGTAGCAATAAATGGAAATCTCGCGCAAATTTGGTGTTAATGGTTCGATTTTCCCGGGGATGAGCAGGCGAAAAACATTTTGTTTCAAAAACATAAAAGTGACAATAACTATTGGTTCTCCCAACGTTCAGCATCAAATTCCTAATCGTTTCCAATAGAGCCAATTATGGCGAGAAAAACAACTTGAAAACAACCAATACCTTCATAAGTTGTGGAGATATTTCGAAAAAAAAAACGATTTATAAACAAATCCCCTATTTCCTGTATTGCCTTGAATATGTCATGAGCCACTCAATGGATTTCAGTTTTTTCATTCCAAAATACTTGTCTCCGTAGGAATTGTATAAAGCAATGAACATATGTATTTCCGCTCGTTCAAAAATCGCGAGATATTGCAATTTTTTCATTGTTTTTACCATTTTTCGCATCCCATAC